CGCTCTTCCTGTTCAGAGATGGCCATTCACCTTCAGTGTGCTGGACCTGGGGTACAAATCCTCCACAGCACTGGCACTGACACAAGAATCTCTCGCTAGGATGACAGCCCCAGGTGCTGTGTCAGCTCAGCCCGAGCCCATGTGGGCTCTAGCAGCACCACTTTTTAGTATTAGTGGAGTATCCAGGAGGTTTCAGTCCAAGAGGCTATGGAGCTATTGAGAATTCACACAATCCCACACAGAGTTATGCCAAGAGGCTGCAGTGGGGAGTTACAACTTTGTTACTTCTGAACTGCTCAGCTGCTATCAGAATGCAGTCCAATTGCCATGTCTAAGGCTTCTTTGAACTTTAATGATCATGCTTCTCTAAACTCTGGAAGCAAGGCACGTAAGTAGGGGTTTATGGCAAATCTTTGTTGAAATCAAGATAGGAGACTGTGTAGAAAAGGTTGGGCTTGATTTTGACAATCCTGATCTGACTTTTACACAGACATTTAAGTTGTACAGGATTAGAAAATTCCCAGCCAAGCACTCCTAAGTGAGTATAAATACCACAGAAAACTTAAATCAAGTGCCCAGCTTTGATTTTAGGCATAGCATTAAAAACTCACGCACAAATATCAGTTACATGCCTTACAAACTTATACTAATCCTTATAGAAAGATCAACAGGGTCTAAAGAAGAATTCAAAATTACACCGGATACTGATGCACCCAGCAAGACAAAAAGGTAGATCTATACAACTTCCCTTCAAAAAGGAAAACCCACTACACAAACCTTCTGCTAGCTAAGAAATTATTTTTGTTGCATCTTTGCAAAATTCTGGCAAAAGAACAGAATTACTGTATCTTTCACGTGATTTCCATTCTTCAAGGCACGCAAAGCTTCTTCACTATTTTTGGTTATTTAAGCTAGTAGCAGATTTTACAGATAATTCTAGGGGGAAAGAAAAGCACTGCTGCAGATCCACAATCGAAGACAATTATGGTAAGACAACGTACCTGTAATTCCCTTAATCTAAAACTGAAGGGTATTACGAGTTGTTCTTCATATATGCGAGTCTGTTAAACAATATTCACTACTTCCTAAATAGTTCTTATACTAAGTTCAAGAACACAGGTATAAATCAACCCATGTGGAAAATGGTCCACAGACATCTGGACTCCAAAGGACAGCCACAACAAAATAAAATCTAACTCAACAACAACAATGGGGCAAAGACGACACAGGCACTGACGACTTGAGTAGAACAGAAATGCTCTGCCACTGAAATGATCTCTTCAGCAGATGACTCCAATCCCTCAGATATCCAAAACCGGATTCTTAATTATGTTTTTCTACTGTTTACAGGCGAATCTTTGTGCCTTCCCACACTCTGCTTCCACATTAGCACCTTTACTTGCAAATTCACTTCATTTTCTTGTTAGCCCTTCACCTGGAACAGCTTTCCATATCTGTCTCAGAAAGCTTTCACCTTACCTATTGAAACTTTTTTTCACAAACCACTGGATTCCAAATGTATTTTATACTAGAGAAGTAAAAATATTTTGAAAGCTGCTGCAAATGCTAGCTGGCCATATATGTAACATCAGAGCATAATGTGGAGTGATAACCAGATGCAGTTATATAATGTAGACTTCTGCAGAAGGTTAAGGAAAATGCTAGAGAAGTATTTAGTCACTTAATCATACTAAATTTTTTTACACTGATCTTCCAGGACTCCAAACAGAACTGAACATTTTTTTCCGCCACTGAATATTTTCAGTTTTACAAAGGTATTACCCTAGATGAGAAAAGAGCCTCCAAGCCCCTCAATCTCAGGGCTTACAGGAACAGCAGTCAGCTACCTGGCACGGTGCTCTCCATCAGCTTTAGCAGAGAAAAGCATTTGATGTACACTGGGATAGTTTAACTTACCAATAAACGGAATAGAAGCCAAGGAGTCACCAGGTGGGCTGGAACCTGATGCTTTCCTTTCTTCTATTCTTTTTATGTGAACTTCTCTCCGGGCATCGTTAGGTAACCAACAGGTAGTGTCCGAGGCTGCTTCTTGGTCATTTACAGCAAGAATATAGGACTGATGCCTCAAAGGCTGTGGAGTTTGGTGGCCAGAAGGTGATTTGTCTCGCATGACCACCACGTCTTCGTCATTTTCCTGAACATCTGTTTGCAGAATTTCAGGCTCGTGGACACCTTCACTCTCAAAATCATGAATTTTTTGTCTGATGGAGCCATCTACATTGTCAGAGGTAGTTGAACTCTCACTTGTTGGCTGAACAAGTTTGGCGGAAGCTGGAGACAGAGAGGAAGGTTGGACGGTTTTGCCAGTTTCTGCTTTGTGATCTGGGGCACCTTCAGCTCGGATCCGTGACTGTTGGTTTAACAGACCACCCTGATGCAAGTGATTTACTGTTCTTTGGTCTTTGCTGGCAATAGCATCCAGGCTCTGGTTAAGGGGAAATGATGGTTTTGCTGCATAGTGAGCAGAGTTCTTCAAAGAGCTACTTTTAGAACTTCTGGCTGGTGTGAGAGACAATCTCTCTTGTGAAACAGTTGTAGACTTTGAAACTCCCCCAGGAGTTTGCAAATCTCGAGAAGGTGGCAACATTTTTATATCTGGTGAAACTTTCTGAAAATGAGAACCAGGCAGAGAAGCCCTACTACCCGTTCTCCTGCTGTCTGAAATATAAGCACTTGGAGTCATAGAAAAATTTTGACCTCGAAGGGACATATGAAATGCATGCTGTCTAGATCGCTCATAAATACCTCGCCGATCATCTTGTTCAGTAAACCCTGTCCACTTGTAAGTCTTTCTCCTGTCTCCATTAGTACCTGCAAGCAGATTCTCAGAATGAAAGTTCTCTAGCACTTCACCCTGTTTGCTGAGATAATCCCACGATCGAGCCCTGTGATTCCTAGCATTAACTGAAGGTGAAGTCAGAGTATCTTGTGAAGCACTGCGTGGCCACTCTTTCATCAATACAGGATCCTCAAGCCTTTCCTGGGATACGCTTCTCTGGCGGATCTGAACAGACTGTGGAACCCTATCATGAGAGGTGCTCCTGCGCCGTACCTGTGAAGCAGTGCGATTTGGCACCACTTGATTATAATCAGTTGTATTTTGAGAAGCTGCCCTTAAACTATCTAACCTCTCCTGGATTGTTCGGGAGCCATACATGTGCGTGCGTCTGTTATCGATGTACTCTTTGTAAGTTTTGTAGGTCTTCCAGTCTATATGCTGGTGGGACGTTGGAGAACTGTAATGATTTGTAGAGACAGAGGGCGAGTCCGTGGCTTGAGCAGGAGGTCTAGTGCTCGAGATTCCTTCTGGACACACTACATAATTTGAAGCTTTATTTAGTGTTCCAGTTGGATCAACTGGCCTTGTTATTGGAGTCTGGGGAAGTACAATGGCAGTGGACACTGAACAAGATGGTGACGTGGTCCGTGCTTTTAGACTGGTTTGATCTTTCAAGCCATATCTTACTTCCTCTGTCCTGTGTGATGGGCCAGCGTGATTATTTCTACAAGATGGCAAATCTACAGCCTTCTCAGAAGGCACAATAACAGTCCGTACAGTTTCGTTACAAACACACACAGCTGTATTTGATTTTGCAATGTCTGTTGGCGATGGAGGCACTTGTATTTCCATTCTGTAGGCCCTCTCTGGCTGTGTCAATGCCCGTACTGGTCTACTGACTTGTGGTTTCCCGAGCGAGAAGTCAGAAGGTAGCTTGTCACCAGCTTGTGCCGTAACAGAGGCTGCGGGTGCCAGGCGTGGGTAACATATTGGCGGTGGTTCAGGTATGTTGTGGGCATTACCACTGTAGGCTTCGTTGCCTTTCAGGTAGGCATCTTGGGAATACGCCTGTGGAGAGAAGATTACGTGAGTATTCCACAGTGACGGAGATGGAGAAGTTCACCATGAAGCATTTGCATGATCACGCTCCAAGAGAGGGAACACAAGTACAAAATTCACACTATCGTTTTAGGTAAAATGTTAGTTAAGAAGAAAAACAGCATGCCATCCCTTTAGTGAGCAGAAACAGATCAAGCAAAATCATTATATACGTTCCCTCCTTCAACAATTAAAAAACTCAACTGATGACCAATTCTAGGACACTGAGGCAGGAATCCCAAAATCCCCAAGCACAAAATACAGTATTTTTCTCCCCCTTATTTTTGCTTTCTATCATAATACTTCACACACTCTTCCCATTTAAGCTTCACATTGTTGGAAATCAGAATTTCACAGCAATCGACAGGTTAAAATGCTGCATAATAAATTCAACTAGCACTAGAAAATTCTCTGTTCACTTTGTGTATGAAAGAACTCCATTCACTTAATGTAGTGCATATGAAAAGTACACACAAATATAGATACTCCTCTAAGATGTATTCTACATAAAAGCTACAGTTCCTAAACATAAATTGAATAAAGTGAAGCAGCAACATCTTTGTTGTGAGCCAACACCCTTTAAGTCATATTTTACAGGAGACAGCCAGTACATGGCACACAAATCTTAATGTAGAAATGTTAATAATATGTAACATTTTTAACTTCAAGGTACAAACAATATGAGAATTCATGCATACTCTCTACTGCCAACCCACTATTAAAACACAAACTAAAATCTCATATATTCATTTCCTTAGTGCATTTTTTTTGCTCCTTTATGTCCAAGAGCCTGACTCGTGAGAAAAATGGTTATATTACACTTAGTATGTTTCTGTAGCCTTTTGGACAAGTAGCATTTATCATTGTGAAATTCACAGAACATTCAAAACAATAAATCGATGAGAAGCATCCAGCATACTTAAACAATATTCTGTTATTGAAAAACTTCAGCGTGACTTTGTTCAGTTTAAACATAATGAAATAAAGAGCCAATGCACAGCCTGCCAATGCAACAGAAGAATAAAACGATTTCTCAAGGCTTTTACACGTTTAGGCATCTCCTGCCCAAATCATGCTCAATTCCAGAATACCAATGTGCCCTGTCTTAACACTAGGCAGGTTATAAAAGCCCAAGTGCAGCCATGAAATTAATATCGAGCAAAGTACAGAGGAGGGCGAGGCATTTTCAATATTGCTGCAACGTTACACTGAGCATTAGTGAAGAGCAAAATATTAAAGCACGCCAAGAGAAAACCGACCAAGTAACACAGGCACAAACCACAAATTAAGAGATTAGCATTATGAAGAAAATTCAGCTCAGATAATCTAGCTCATTTCCAACAAACTTGCTGTTTCATACTCTTGCTTCTCACAAATCATTAAGAAAAACATGCCTTACAAAACCATCAGAGAAATGGCTACTGTACATTTCTTACCAGGGCTGTGACATCCTTTGTAAACTGCAGCTGGCAGAAAACAGGAAAACATAGTAAAAGCTGCTTACAGATGTAAAGACAAAATTACGTTGTCATATTGATGTTAGATACAGCAAGCTAAAAATACAACTACACTGATTCCACTGGAAGGTACCAACAGAGGTAAAGGGCAGTATGGCATAAAAAATAATTTCACCCTCCTTGTGAGTATGTCCATTTCAGGCTTTTATCTGCTCCTCGCATTTATCCTCTCCCCTTACAGAAAGCAAAATACATGTGTGCCATTTTGCCTCGGCGCATCCCTACAGTTGTCTGCAGTGAGTCCTGGCTCTGTGCACCAAGACTTCCCTTCCACTACAGCAACGTTACTGCCTCTCATTTCCCCTGGGCTGCTGCCGTCCCTGCTTCCTGGTGACGAAACAACGGCTTAATTATGCATTTCAAACAGCACGCCCCTTCCCCACATATATCTGAACACAACCACAAGCTGTCAGCTGACTGCAGCTGCTTTCATGCTGTACATCCGAAATTAGAGGAATGATGCTGCAGAAACACTCCACTCATGTGATTTGTTGGTTTTTTGTTTTGTTTTGTTGTTTTTTTTCCTCTACTCATAGTAAAAAAATCAAGCCAGGTTTCCACTGACACATTTAATGGAAGGAAGGAACACACAAAGATATATATTTTTAAATCTTAAAATAAATGGTTTAAAATAGCCATCTTGATAGGCTGAATTAAAAAAAAATAAATAAAATGGAAAATATGCTGAAGACCCAGAAAAAAGAGAGAGCGAGACTACAAGCATGCAGAATAAATAACAGTCACCCACACCCCCAGACAGAAAACAATTATTAATTTATACAGCTGGTGAAACAGGTCAGAACTTGGGATGCGCATGTTACACCTATATAAAATACACTGCATTTACGTTTTCGTAAAACATACCCACAACAAACAATGCTTCATTGACTTTGACAGCAGAAAGGCTGAATTCCAAACCTGGTGTGATCTGAGCATAGTTAAAGACTACAACTGAGTATAAAAATAAGTTCTCAGCTCTTGACAAAACGTATCACAGATATTAAAACACCTTCAAAAGACAGCACTCTCGCAGGTCCTAAACAAGATGAGCCTGGCTTTCTCCACTTTTCTACCAATAAAGAGCATGTTTCCTTGATTGCAGGTATATCCCGACAGACTGACTGCCAGCTGACAGAGTTACTGGAAGAAAGGTTTTGGTGATGGAGAGTATCACTTCTCTTCTCAACCTTGTTCCGCTCCCTTCCCAAGAAATCACTGAAACAAAGCTGAACATTCTTCCAAGAAAGAAAAGGTTTATAAACAGGGGCTGTGACATTTCCGTAAGGGAACATTAAGTATATTTGTTTCATAATTCTGATTAAGGACCTACAGAGAAATATTGCAACTTACAAAGAAATGCACAGATCCATTCTGAATAATGTCACATTGAATGATGCATTATCACAGCATTTTTACTATGAAATATTTTAATTGCTTTAACCAGAAAGTGATGGGTAAAAGAAAAATTTGAACTACACCAGTATACTACTTAGCTTTTATACACTGTTTTGATACTAAACATATTTTGCAACTATATATAAAACACCAATGGAATATTACTCTCTTCTCCCTTTAGTTCCTCAAATGATAGAGTATGTGGAAATGCTACCTTAATCTCCAAGTGATTGCAAAGAGGACATAATGATTAAAAAGCCATTATGGTGTGACTTAAGTCTTTGAAGAGTCGTAAAAATAAAAGTCTTGCAACATAAAGAAACAAAAAAAATCCAGACCAGCTATGTTCCTGATTCAGACACCAGCCAAGCCACTCAAATTCCTACAGGAGCTGGGTACTCAGCAGTTACTTGAAAGTTCCAACACGACCAAAAGATCAGTCTTGATGTTTTATGAGCTCTTTTCCACTTCCTCAGAACAACAGCAGTCATGGAAAGCTTATCATACAAATACCACAAAATTTGGAGTGACATTAACAGCTTGATAGATAACAGCTCTGCAACAATTACTAGAAGAAAACTGCTGTGCTTACAGTAAGAACTCGGCATGTTTCCCATTACTGGGTACAATGTCTTCCCCACCTTGCAATCTGGTTTTGTTTGCCCTAAGTTTAAAAATTCCTATGGCAAAGCGTTAATTTCTTACTGTGAATCTGCATAACCATTAGCACATTAAGAGTTTCAGTGGTAAGGTAATACATTCATGTTGTATGATATGCAAAATAAATTTTAAGCAAATAAAGCATTCTATGCTTTAGAGATACTAACTCTCTAAAACTCAGCTGAATTTTGCTCGCATTTTTCCCACTTGATTTTATACCATTTGATCTCAGAAAAACAACAGCTGACATACAAGGATTCCTCTTAGTAAGAACAATGGTGAAATCCCATACTTTCAAAGAGCTTAAGCCCACCATGTCCTTCACCATGTCCAAATCCATACAAGCACGGAGGCATATGCTTCACTGAGGATGAGTACGCTTCACTACAGGTCGAGTAATAACACTGATTTCAACTGAACTACTTGCAAAATTGGAGATAAGTATTTTGATGAATGGGAAGTCAATGTGCCCAGCCAGCAACCTGCAAGACTGAGCTTGAGGCATTCCTCCTTCTTTCTCCAACCAGTCTGGCTTCAGATGATGTTTCTTTATTACTGAATTCTTCTCTCCCCCAGTTTTAACCTGTTCTCACATTTACAGTGAATATAGCAACTGCACACCAGAAAAGGTTTTCAGCTGTCTTAAAAGGAAAGATTTGCCAGTTGCAGTTTGCTCTGGCAAGAAGGTTAGTGACACAGCTCAACTGGTTTTATTTTACTCTGAGACACCCAGCAAACACCATGGTCTGATAACATTATTTCAGGGGAAAAAAAAAAACACCAAAAAAACCCACACAAAAATCCCAAACAAACAAAAAAACCTCCCCACAAACCCAAACAAACCAAACCCACACATCCTTTCTTCACAATGGCAACATAATTTTAGTGCATAAAATTTAATGCCTTAAGCCCAAGGAATTTCATTTCTGCATACAAGCTGTGTAAGAGATGTAAATTTTAGTCTAAATCGAGGTGAGGAAGGTTGATGCAAATAGTATTTCTAACACACGCAATGTTAAATAAAGTTTAAGTCTCTTCTAGGTTACTATGCCTTCACACCACAGCCCTCCTTCCACTGTACCTGCTGCCAGAGCTTTAACTTTAACTTCTGCATACATGAATAACTGCATCACTACAAAATCTGAAAGTAAACAAATGCTCCAAGACTCTGGACTAAATACAGCTGCTTATGAACGCATCTCTATTTATTAAAAGTAAAGCAAATGAAAAAATTTCACAGCTTGCCAACAAAAAAGCCGTGTTGTTCCACTGAGTCTGATGCAAGTGGAAGGTCTCAGGTTAAAAGAAAATAAAAATGACAGTATTGTTAAAGTTGACTGTGAGCAGACCTGTGGTGAGAGGCATGACATCAGTGGGGCATATAAAACTCGAGAACAAATTTCCTTATTAAGTCTTTTTCCTCCTCATTTTTTAATACAGGTGCGTCACTGGCAGTTCCAGGGTACTACAAGGCCTTCAGAGCTGTCAAATTCCACAAAAATTTTAAGAATGAGAGATGCCAAAGCAGCAACTCTTCTGCCCAGATCTCCCAATATACTGAAACTTCCATACCACCTGACTAGAAAATGAAAAAAAAAGAAAAGATAAGCTTTAATTGACTTTCACTCACTTTCCTGGTCATTCCTGTCTAGGAATTTTTTTTGTTCCTCTATCATCTATGACAAGAGAAACATTTCTGTTCAGATGTACTCAACTTTCAGCTATCGACACACAGTTTCAATGGTCTATAATTTTAAGGAAAGATTAAGACATAAATGAAAAGATGTGCAATAGGGACCTAAACATATCAAAAACATAGGTAGAATGCCCAGCAAAGTATTTTCTTGAAACTTCTTTGTAGTTTCATTTACAACACTAAGGCACGTTTCAACATATTTATGGGCTACTAAAATTTAATGATGACAACACCTAAGACTAGAATTGACCTGCTTACCTTCTAGGGTAATTCCTATGAGGAAATTACCTAGTTTTTTAAAACTTACCCAAAATGAAACTGTTGGAGGTAGGACAAAAGTTGGGAAAAACGAACTTCTGACTGGGTAGTGAGGGAAGTGTCAAAAATGAAAGATGAAAAAGCAGGATAACTTACCTATAGAGTGTATTTATATACACGTACACAAAGTAGATACACATATTTACAAATTAGTATCTACATATTTACATATACTAAATCCTAAATATAAACATCAACATGCTACACTACAAATAACCTTCCAAATGAACAGCTCCCATGTAGATCACCTTAAAGATGCAATTGTTAAAAGACTGATAGTTCCAAGTGCCTAATCCTTAAAAATTCAGTGACTTGCAAGTTATAGTTTTCTTTACATACACAAAGAATGATCAGCAAAGAAGCAAACCTCCAACATGAACACACCTCAAAAATACAGTCCAAAAAGCCTGCATACTAAGGACACCCTGACACGTACATGTTAGATGCTACAAAGCTTACTGACAAGAGTCATAATAAGGCAGACCTGGAAGTGGGCTTAGCAATTTCAATTTTCTCTCTCTAGGGAGCACCTTTACATTCAGTATATTCCATGTAGCACAAAAAGCTTTTGAATGACTGAGGAAGTTTCATACTAGGAAGTTGTTCAAATTGTGTCCTTTGTTATCCAAAGGCTACAAAACAGCAACAATTCCATTAAATACACTTGAAAAAAGAAATTATTTGTAGCTGACCTAAACGTGTCTTCCCATTGGTATGAAGTCAGTGGTACTAAAATCTACACAATGCCAAAATTCTGTCAAAAAAAGCTGAGACTTCTACAGAAATTGTATAAAGATGTATGAAATTTGAAACACTGAGTATATTATAATTATAATCCTCCTCCTCACGATCTCAAAACAGTTACATACCTACAAGTGTTGCAATATTAAGAGATTACATTAAGTAAATTAATCTCAAATTTGAGGAGGAGCATGAAAAAAAACAACCTACACATTTGTAGTTCTCAAGAGTTCAAGATTTTGTCACTGATAGAGGCATTTCAAATACCCTTTCCCCCATGCCCGAGGTGACATTTCAAGATCCTGCCAATGAAGACGGCCGACACCAACTGCACTACTGGCAGGATTTCACATTACTTCCCTGCTAAGGAGTGTGCACGAGCCACAGAGGGCAGTGACCTGGGGATGGGACCACTTCATTGATGAACAGATTAAAGGCCCTGTTTTCAGGAAATTCAATATATCAATAGGTTCGCAGACATATATGGATATTTCTGTCGACTAAGCTCAAGGTTTATAAATAGCAAACTAAGGATAGAAACAAGCAACTGTGCTCTTTATGTAGTTAACCTAGAAATCACTCATCGCCACATGGAGCAGACTGCCAAGTACTACACAACCAGCATCATTCCTGAATATAATGAAACTATTTCATCCTCATTGCACCAGATTAACCTTTCATTAGCTTCTACTAACACACCCAGCAGTGCTTTGATTTTTTTTTACAGCATACCTGTGTTTAACATCAACAGAACCCTTTGAAGATAGTTACTTATGACATACGTCAAAGAAAACAACTAAATTCCTTAACGCATTATAATAACTTACATAACACAACTTCAGTGACAAAAGCGTAAGTTTTTCCTCTATTAATAAGGGCACCGTACCTTATAATTTACTGTTCATTTTGCACTTATACTAACATGACCACTACAGAGATTATTGTTATTACTCATTTGTACCACCTGTACTTCATTCAGGAATAAGAATTCGCTCTGAGGTTTGTATTTTATTTAGATATGAGATTTCCACAAAAATTAACACAACATTAATCACAAAGATAAAAACAGAAAACCAAAAACTATGCAGTATCACAGCAAAAAACCAAACAATGTCTTTTCACAAGTAGTGTAAGGAATAACATTCTGTACTGATACTCTGAAAATATTTAAAACGTAATTGTTTAGCTTCGAGTAGAGCAAAGTTCTACACCAAATCTTGTCATGAGAGCGGCAGATCCTGACATCTAAAAGGCTGAAGATTAATAATCATCTTCAGAGGAACTGCATAGATTTTTCATTTGACTGAAGTTACAGTGGTGCACTATGCCTCAAAATACTGCTAATTGTTATTTTAGAAGTGATTAAGATTTTTCTCCCTCTATGGTGGTCTAAAAGGGAGAAAACTACAGGCCATAACCAATGACTTCTGCTGAATGATGCCATTCATTCTTATGAAAACATACATACTAAAATTCAGACCATGACAGCACTGTGGGAATAAACTGCAGCTATTGGCAGTCTTTTCCAATAGACCTAAGCACAGGCAATGTTCAGGCTTGTGGACTCCAGAAAACATCAGCGTCTTCATGGCTTTCCTCTGGCAGATGCTATGTGGAACTGACAGTCCTCAAGAAAAGCCCACTTTTACCCAAACAAACGCATCAGAGCAAACAGGAGCATAAACAGCCACTGAAACCCACAGGCTTTTCTTAGCTGTTAATGTAAAGTCAAGTCTTAGTATTTCTGTGTGGATTTGAAAATACAATTTTCCAACTACTAACCAGAAAATCTACCTGGCTTCTTGTCTTCTCCTTTCCTCTACTTTTAATTGAAAATAAACTGGAGCATATCAATACATTAGGTGCTTTTCTAATTCTTCACGATAGGCACTTACACATCATATTTTATTCACAGCTCTTCTGAACTCGAGGACACTAAATGGGAGATGAATTATCTCACCACAAATGCAGGAACCCAATTTCAAACTGAGAATATATAGGCACTAATGCAAAAAAATATTTACAGCAGCTACACCTTGCTTCTTTCCCCGAAATCCACAGACAATTAGTGAATTATTAGTAAAAGCCAATTTTAAGTGTCATAGGCTAGTTTTTTTAATTCAAAATTAGTAATGATTCTGAAATTCTTTAGAATTAGACAACCTAGGTAAAGAAAGCAATCTGATTCATAAATTCTAATACAAGGAAGCTAATCCAAAATAAGAAAAATACAAACACTATTCCAAGATTAATTTTTTTTGCAAGATGCTAGAAATCTCGTATGAAGAGGGTATTTTCCCCTATATTTGGAATCCTCTGAAATTTCAGGGACGGCAAACATCTAAAGAGTGACAGAGAGATAAATGTTAACTCTTTAATTATTTGCTGGTAGCACAGTTCAAAAACTCTGTAACCCACAAGAAGACATTTTTCTTTAGTTAACATACTGTCTGAATACAAACGTCATGAACATACCAGTTGAAGGATGTCCTCATCTTTTGGCATAACACTAAGTTCCAATATGCTGTCACTGAAACAAACAGGAAAAAAAAATACCACACATGAAATTTTTGGAAAAGATTTTCAACTCTTGTTACAAAGATGATCCGTTTACTTCCATAGACCAACACCATTCAAAACTCCCACACTCAGCTACTGTCTGTCAAACTGCTTCACACAACAGAAATAATCACCGATTTCCATTTGAGTCCTAGCAAATAGAACAAGGATCTGAGGACTACATCTCTGTCCTCAGCAAAGCTGGTGTATTAAGCCAACGTGGTGTCTTTCTCAGTTTGGTTTCTCTCTTTTCCCCTTAAGTCCTAGGGTACTTCAGTTGTTTGGAGCGTCTCAGAAAAAAACAAGGTGGTAAATCTGTGAGCACAAGTTAAAACTCCTCTCCTTCCATTTAAAACTGAAGTCTGTTAGCACTCTAAAATTACTGGGGAGATATCACAACCACCACACCATGTGAAAAGTGGGGCAATAGTGAGGCAAGCACTGACTTAGACTTTTCTGCTTCAATCACCTCCTAGCAGAACCAACTTAAACATATTTAGTCAGTCAGTCATTTGACATCTGAAATATGGATAAAAATCCCTGCTATTTTTAAGTGCTGAGTTTGTCAGGCTGAATTACTGAAACCAAAAGCAGCAGCAGCATAAAGATCCAGGGATCCAGATAGTTCGATCAACTTAATTTAAATACAGGCAAAATCAGGACACTTAATGTACAATGTATCACTTATCCAGAGTCAAATATTGTAAAATACTGAAACCTATAGTTAGCATCTACCAGAAAAAAGTTTTCACAAGCATAAGAGAAGTATATGCTTGTAACATTGGATACAGAACAGCTGAATTCATTGCCTCATCTCAGACAGATAAATACTCCATTCACATTCTTTAAATGTAAACTGGACCAGGTTCAGAAGACTACAAGGGGATGGCCTGTACAGACTATTTTAACTAGGCTCAAAAAACAGAAAAAGAAGAGATTATGACTGTTACTCAAAAATCTGACACTACACATCACAAGAAAAAATAGTATTTATACAAATTCACTGATACCAGCACAAGAAAAGAGGCATACAACCTAAGAGGATACTTCAGACTAAAATTTAGCGTATCTGTACCAGTCAGTTACACATTTACTGAAAAAAGACAGAATCAGCAGAGACTGGCCACCAACCTCAGGGCACACAGTACAGTCTGTAAGAGCACCAAGAAGGACCAGGTTTCTAATTTCTGCAGAGAGGAAAGCCATCTTCTCAAACATGTAACCTGTGATTTATTATGCTCTCTTATATGAAAAATGTTTTTATTTTGTAGTTCCTCTTCCATTTGTTAGTGACCGCAGATGTAAGGCTGCATTCCAAAATAGCAGAGTAAGGGTATCTGGTTTCACGGTCTTCTCAAACCATTATTCATTTTGAAAAAAGTGTTCACCAAGCAGCATAAATTCAGTTTTAAAACCAAAGATCAGCAGTGACAGGTTTAAGTTTTTCTTTTTAAGTCTACGCACAGCTAGGAAAAAATAAGACTTCAGAAGCCTTTTAAAGATTTTTCAGAATGCTGAATTTTAAGAAACAGAAGCATTTACTTTTTATGTGCATTTACAACAGCACACCCTATTCTGACTGAAGGTACAAACAGCAAAACCGTTTAAAATTAGTTTTTATAATTAGTTCCATCAGGAGCTGACTTTTGCCTAAAATAGTTTCATATCCATACAAAGAAGTTACAAGTTGTAAACCAAAAAGATAATATGAAAGATACCATCGCTTGAGGCACTTCCAATGAAGGGTTCAGCCTTCATTTCTACATGAGGGTAGCATGCACGTGTAAATTCTATCAGGCAACTCACAGTTTCATAATAATTAATGCTTATTTGCAGGATGAAGACTTCCGAAGTTAAAAATAAGACAAAGTGCATTGCTCCTCTTCAAGTACTTTTTATATAAAAGGAATGTAACTTGATACAGAACAAACCATTTTCTTACATATATTCTGTGCTGCTTTTTTTTTTTAAGAAAGCAATTAAATCCACATACACAGTCTAATACCTTTTTTAGCAGCCATCCAAAAGAGGAAAGGGTTTCATTCAGGAACAATGTTTTCTATATCATTCAAATCACTACTTAACTGTTCTATTCCCATTTGCCTGCAGAACCTTCTGGAGACAATTTGGATCTTCCTAATTTGTATTTTGTAAGTGCTCCCAGAATGTATTTCAATTCTCATATCAGGAATAAAAAGTACTAAGGAATAGTTTTGGTGTATTTTACTATGCAGTGTGCGTGCAAGTTATGAACTAGAAAGTGTTAATAAGAACCACCACACAGAAAGTGACAGCTTACACTCAAATATTAGACACAGTATTTGTGAATTCTCAGAGATATCTATCACACAAATTACCTGCATTACACATTTAGAGAGCTAAATTTAATTTTATTGACTCAGAGTCAAACTAAAGCACTAATCAAAGACCATCATGAGACTGATTCAGTAGCTAAACTGTACATTTCTGAGTAACCTAAACACTTTCAGGAAGAATCTGTGAAAAGAGACAAGCTGAATAGAGTTAGTTAAATTCCCTACAGTTTAAAAAAAAAGGTAGTTGGGAATTGGAATCTGCTTCTTGTTTTCTTTAGAACCATAAATAATTTATGGAGTTTACATTAGTAATTAACATCTCCGAGTTGATTATGTAAACAGATGAGAACAAATTCTTAATGGACCAAACTAACACCTCCTGGTTAAGAGCAGGAAACCTTGACTTAGCAGTGATCCCATGACTGATGTTACAGGACATGGTTATTCCTAGCAGTTCTTCTGAAGTGTGCCCTTCACCTTCCAGAGCAAATAATCAGTGTAGGCTTAGCTTTGGTGTTTCCACGCAGAGCAAAACAGATAAGATTCTAGACACAGTTTGAAACTTTTCTCAGAACAATACAAAACATGGCTGTATCATATCCCATCCATAATCCCACTGGAATTTATAGGGACTATTTCATTTAAGGCAGCTAAGTTCTGATGTCTGCAGCATTATATAAAGACAACAAACAGCCACAACTGAACATCTTTCTAGAAAAATAAAGAGTAGCTGTGGAAATTGAGCTGCAGGAGTAATCTAATTCAAGTATCAGTAGGTCCAGACTGAGCTTCACTGTAAAACAGCTGAACAGTGAGGAGGGAACTCTCTCTTCAGAGGTAGGAGAGAATAAAAATTGTATCCTTTAAAACCGCTCTGAAGATGATCAGAAAAACTACAAGACAGTAACCATTTAAAGTCAGCAATACATTTGAAATTTAAAAACAATAATTAAACTGTCTAGAAAACCATCACACAACATACTGAGACTAGAAATGAAACTGTCTTTAGTCATGAATAAAGGAGATTGCAACCAACAACTTAGCTTTTCAAAAGGCCTTTCAGCAAGATGCTTGCACAAAGCCTACTGAAAGAAACTAAGGTGTGCTGGGTAAAAGATTAGCTACAACACAAAACAGCAAGAATTGTGTCACTGGGCATTTTTAATATGAAGAGTTTAAGCACAATCAAAAGTGAACTTGTGCAAGACTAACCTATCAAGAGCTATTAAATCAAGTGATGCAGATAAAACCTTTGGTTCGGCAACCAGGGATTTCTGGAAAGTGGTGTAGAATTATTTGACCAGGTATCACTATAATTTCAGTGCTTCCACAGTCTTCTCCCAAGAATCCACTACCGGATAATACAAGAGAGGATACTGACATAAACAGATCAGTCCAACCCAGAATGGCTATGCTGATGCACGAAGAGCATGTTAAAGCAAGAAGCATACACCATAACATAATTTTATTTGCCATGAAATGGCAAGTAAAATGAAAAAATGCTTTTCGTGCAGAACAAACTGCTCTGAGCCCAAAAACACTGTTTTCAAACACAGAATTAGAGTTCATTCTTTAGTCATATGTGAAACATTGCCTGTAAGCTACAAAGACGACAGACCCTATCTGGAGCCTGAGCTCCCTTTATGGATCAGAACTAATATTTATCTGTTTATCTTAAGAGGTTCAGCTGAAGACTTCTTGATGCTTATGTGTGCTGCATAAAACACTCAAGGATACACATGACTTTTTGTTATGATCTGTACGATGTACAGAACTGGCACAAGACAACAAACTGTTCTCCTCTCCTAACCAACAATAGCATCTCTTCATCCTCTCTGCACTTGTGGAAGTGAGGGGGCAGATGCAGCAGTGTGTTACCCCAGCCATGGCTTATCCACAGCAGGCAGGGGCTGCATTCTGCTGGAACAGTTCAGTGCCTACATTGAAAAGAAAAACTTCCTTCACAGGCAGACCTAGAGTTAAGAATCTCTGTCATGTAAGGCCACTGGAAGACGTGACTGGTGTCTTTTTTTGGGATTAAGGTAAGAGATTTAATTCACTGATTACATCGCATGCCCAACAGGTACATGTTCTATATCTTGAGTAAACACTCTTGTAGGATATTGCTGTCTGTACAAACAAAATTAAAAATCAACCAATACATGGCTAGTGCTATCTTCATTAAGTGTTATTAAAATAAGATTCCATCTTTCCAGCTCTTGCATAGAAATTATTAATGACAAAACACATTTCAGTCTACCTTGCCTGTCATTCCTCTGAACAGAGTTTTGTTGTCTCAGAAAAAATGCACCTGGGATGCATCCAAGCTGATGATTACACACCTTTTTTCCACATAACTCATTATTACATTGGAAACTTGTTACTATAGAACAGATATTGCCACCAAAACTGTAAAAATGGAGGCAGGTATAAGACAGAAAACAAGTATCTAGATTCATGTATGGACAGGATTTAACAAGCCCTTGTGAGCTGCAGGAGCAGTAAATATTATTTCCTCAACTCTGTGCAACCTTCATAAATTGCTGCAAAATAGAGGAAAGCCAAGATGTACCGCAGATGCTTTGCAGGTGTGCACTAGCATAAATTTTTTCCTTTACCAGTACATTCATTTCTAGTTATCAGGTCTCATAAGCAAGCCATTTTTTTCTAATTTTCTTTTTAAATTGACAGATACATGTGTGGTGTACGTACACCTAATCTGCCTATTTTAAGTTTAGACAACCTTCCTCTCTAACACTCAGTGTGATTTGCTAACAAGCGACAAGTAGTGACATAAAAGGACTGAGGCACAATTCAGCACACCTATTCTCAAACCTTTCTTCAGCACTCAGGAAATACACAAAACCAGAAATAGTAAAACTGAGTATGTTAAAAAAAGTTTAAAAATACGATAACTTTTTCAGAACCACTGTAAACGGTCATTTCCTGCTTAGTATAAAAAGTAATCTTACCTGTTCTGTATTAAACCAATGACTTGAGAATATGTCTTCCCAATAACACTTTCACCATTGACTTTTATAATTCTGTCACCTGTAAAGGGAAAAGTTATACCTTAAATTAATTTGTCTAGACTTTTTTTGATCATTCTTATTTTGTACCTCTGTAACTCAGAATAATCAAGATCATCAATATGTTAAACGCAAAGTCAGTCTTCTTTAAAAATGAAAAAATACGAAAATAAAAGATGCACAATACAGCTACATGTAACCATACACAGGATGTCGAGTTTCTACTCTTCTCAGAAGATTTTTAGATGTGGTATCTTACTCTAAGCTTCCAAATGAATCACCAAGAAAACCACAAAGGCAGGTGTACGCTATACCAGAGGCTCACTTAAGTATCCATCTTCAAAATAAAGCTTTTGACATACGGTAACATGTACTGACAACTGGACGCAATTCTCAACGAATTATACGTAGGCATTTAATTCCAGCACTTAACCTCAAAACCAAGTCAAACTTTAACTCAGAACACTGCCAGGTGTAACTGTACACATCTCCTTTAATTGCAACAAATATTGCAGTTTTGTACTTTTTCCTTCTCAGAAACAAAGAACAAGTACTCTGAGAGGCTCCAGTTTCCTCCTTCCTCAGAATAACCTGGGTTGTTTCCAAGACATTACTGCCTCTTCAAATGCATATTGGGCAGTTTGGGTTCTTTCTTATTGATACAGATCAATCTTTAAACCTAACATCACTTTTATCAGATTTCTCCAAATAGTTTGTTGCACCTTCCTCATTAAGAGCTTCATATACTCTCATACATTAAGTGGCAAATGTATAATGGAGAGTTATTTTCAGGTTTTGATGAAAGACCCATCCTATTCCTTCACTAAAAATGGTATTTACATCATCTCTGACTAGAAGAGCAGAAAGGTATCTTGAATCTACTAATGAGGAAAAAATGGTCTAAGGATTACAAGTAGGGAGCTTTGGAAAGCTGCTGGAGAAAGAAGGGAAAGAAAGGACCCATGCAAAGTAAGCCAAAGGCTTTTTCAACACCACTTTAGAAACTGAGAGCCCTTTTTCTATTTCTGGCATGATCAAATCAAAGCAAGGAAAAAGTGGTTCAGTATCAAGACTCAGCCTGACTTGGTGGCAATAACACTCTAAATGTTTGCGTTCTGTGGAGGGTCCCTATAGAGATCCCAGGGATTTCCAGACTTACCAAACCACATGGATCTGCTGACTGGTTTTAATTTAGTCTGCACACACGACATAACATCACGCAAATAATTCGGTACCATATCTTCAACTCTGTAGAAGTTTATATGCGCTCTTTTATCAGCTGGTTATTGCCCTTTTCCTCACCTGAAATAACTCTGAGTTTTGTCTCTTGCTTCCTAAGTGATGCAAGAAAGTTTGGTGGCAACATTTAACAGCTGCTGGCAACCCACATGGCTGATTGGCATCTGTGAAGGATCCCAAACCCTATTCCATTGCATACACATGAACACCTTAATTAGGCTGAGAAACTGGACTGTCATGAAAACAAAGTCACTGAAATGCTGAGTATCAAATAAATAAATCCTTTAAAAAAGTTGCAGGTGAACGAAATGTTATAGTTTGTGCCAAAAAATATTCTTATTTACAAGCTCTGAGCCCTGTCCTGCTGGGTCGCACAGCAAGACTTCCTCAGAACACACCAGATCCTTCTCTGGAACTTAAAACTGGCTTTTTTTCCAGGCTGTTTCAGAACTTGCCCACAGATACAGATCTTTACTCGGTATTCCCACTAAAAGATGCAATTAGAAATATCTTTAAAGTACACTGTATCCTCTTATCTACTCTTGTGCAGCTTTTAGTTTTCAAAGAAACAGACTAGGTTACACACAGCGGTGAAACAAGTCTACTTAAAGCACACATCCAATGAACCTGCCAAAAAACTCAGGCAGCACACACTGCAGAACTGATTACACAGCTCTGCAAAATACAACTTTGCTCAGTTTCAGGTACGTATAAAAGGGAAAGGCCAGTGCCTGTAGTACAAAAAAATACATAGAAGCGCAAAATTTATAGTGCTCTCTCAATCTGGTGGCTCATTAAACACCTTTGATCAAACTAGAAATTAATGTGAAAGCACTTAAACCTATATGACAGTATGGAGATCATGACATGAGAAATGTGGATCTGTTTTGACTGTCTGTATTTCAGTATTTCTAATATTTATGTTTGGAACTCAGAATTTTTGTTTTTAAATGAAATCTCTCACAAGGTTAAATGGGGAAAGTAAGATCTTTCTAACTCTAAAAGAAGGTAATTTTACGGAAGTACTCAAAAATACTCAGAATAAGCTGTCTTAACCTATTCCTCCAGTTTCCAAGAGTACTCCATGCTCTCTGGTGAGTAGCAGTCAGGTGAGCTCCTCAGACAGAGCTCACTGATGCTGGGTAACAAAGCCTGTGTTGAGACTTTCAGTATTACACAGAAAACCCTGCAGCAGTGAAATGACAACTGACAAACATAACTACCTAAACTCGTATTAGATTTTCGAGTATTTTCTTTCCATTAGTGTGATCACAAAACAAAGCCAAGTTGACTTTAAAACAAAACAAACCCCATACAGCTGATTCTACAAAATAAGAAATGTACACAGTGTCTGTATCTGAGGCTGGCTGATCATTCTCTGTTTTATAATATAATTTCAAGACAGAGATACAGAAATATATTTCACTCTCAAGTTTTAAACAAGAAATAGTGGCATGACCTAATTAGATACAACTGGTATCAGCAGTGTGTTTAAGAAGAATATTCTGGTAATTTAAAAATGTATTTTCTCATCTATTTTCTGCTGTTTATTCTGGGCTCCAAAAATCTCTTCTATGCCTAAAAATAACTTATTTTCTACAGATTTGATTTCTTTCGATTTGGCAAACACTAAAGAGAGTAGAAATTAACATGGCTCCTCTGTACAACTTCAACAGATGCTGTGTTTTATCAAGTCAAAACATTTCTTTATAATAGCATTAAAATAAAGCCAAAGTAGCCCTTCCCTGACTGACTACTTCAGGAGGAGTTAAAAAGAAAAATGCCTTATGCTGTACAAGCAGGATCTAATGGTGTTTTAAAATTGCTGATCCGCCTACAATTTATTTATTTATTTATTTAGGAAGAAAGATACAAAAAATATCCTATTCCAGTCAAATGTCTGTACATAATTTTTCAAAAGAAAATATCAACATCCCAATATTGACACAAACACAATCCTTTCATAGCACTCACATTTTTCCAAATTTTTAAGAACAGAAATCAGTGTTTGTAGCAGTGTCCACCTACATAACTTACTGTTTTATCACCTGTAAGACTTTCCTTTCTAACACAGCTTGTTGTTTTTTTTCCTTTAACACTTAAATAAAAGGTGTGACAAAGTACCTGGTACTTCACAAAAAAACATGTTTTCTGCTCTGAAAATTTCTTATCGAGTTTTGTTCAGTTGTTTGATTCAATCAGAGGTAGCTGTGGATTGTTTCCATTTAATCTAAAGGAGACTGGATACTTTAATTTAAAGGACAAAAACCTGAATGTTTTGAGGTTATCAATTTGTCACAAAGAAAAAGAAATAGCTTACAGGTGTTATTTTCCTCCATTTTCTCTTTCTCCTCATGTGTTTTATCATACACTTGTTCCTACTTTTTTAAAAGTTAATAAGGCAAAAAGACTAAGACTTTAATGCCTTAATATATTTTATATAGCACTTCCTGAGAGAACACAATGGTGCTTTTGAGGTTAAAAACACCGGAGAACAATTTAAGAGAGAGGTTTCAAGCTTCTGAAGGAAAGAACAAGGTTTAAGTGGAAGACAGAACTACACGCAGAAGCTTTAATCATATCTATTTTACATCACGCACACAAACTTGCTATTGGTGTTACAGAGTAACAATACCTGTGCACAATCCAGCTTCAAAAGCAGGTCCACCCTCCTTCACTTGTTTAACGAATATGGTATCCATAGGCTCCAGTCTATTTCTTTGCTTTCCTGAGGAAAAAAGAATGTTTATTAAAAGCATTTAATTATACTACATTACAATGTTTTTACTTTAAGAATTATTTTGAAATTAAATCCTGCCATGTTCATCATTACATTAAATACGCCAGTTCGATTTGGGGTGAGGGAAGGGAGATTAGGAGTTCTAAAGAGAACATCGTTTGGCTACATTAAAGATCTTTTAGGTGCTGGGAGGAAAAAGAAAGGGGAGGGGAGAGATATATCTCAAGCTTAAACTTGTGAATATGTCCCAGTAGGTGGTATTTTTTGGTATCATTTCATCATCTCATCGCTACACCATTCTCACTCATACTGATGTCTGCACTATTCACTAAGAATTATCCCCTCCTATTCTAGACTATTATCTGGCATAAGATGTAAAGCCAGAGAAACTAAGTAAGAATTAGTAGTGCAAACTAAAAAATACAATTTTAAATCTTTTCTTAGAAGAAAAAAACAATATTGATTTGTAGTCCTCATGGAACTGTAACACTCATTTTTCTAGCAGTGTTTTTCAGATGCTCCAAGATGAAGACTAAAGTTTTCCTGAAGATTTATCAAAATTCAAAGTAAATTGTCATGTCTGCACATGTTGTACATATCCATATATACCCAATACAGAAGTTGATCTACAGCAGTTAGAAACCATAATACCTGCATATTCTCTTGCCTTCTCAGTGTCCATTTAATTTCTATGCTTCCAGAAACACGGGCACCTTTGTGCTTTCAGATTCATGCCAAAGCTAAGTAATTCTTAGTTGAAGTAGCCACTGCTTCCAAATATTGGGAGTGTCCACACGTGTGTGTGAAGTACAATAAAAAAAACCAAACAAAAAACCCCAACACCCATAAAACCCCACACGAACGAAACCTCAACACAAAAAGCTCCACAGTTATACTGCAGGCTAAAATACAGTGATGTTGTCCTGAGTCACATCTGTTTGTAGCTGGATTAAGCCATTCTACAGCTCCTACACAGCTTCACTCGTGTAATTTTTATGCTAGTGAGCTAAAAACAAAAACCCCAGAAAACCCCAAACAAAAAAAAACACCTCACCCCAAAATGAAATCTGAAACCTTATTTCCAGTCTGCCAGAAGGCTGCACTGAACTTAATTTCAGTGTCTGTTTTCAATGTCCTGCATGGTGCAAAGCATGAGCACTCCCAGAACCAGTGGCAGAGCCCCCAAGGTCACAGGCAGCTTTTACGGTGCCAGCGCTGGCTTTAACAGCCTCAGTCCCTCCCAGTCCCTACCACCAGTAACTGCTCCTGCACCACGCTCACAGCTGGGGAAACACCACCCAGCCGGGGGAACTGGCATGGGCTGAAAAGCTGGGTCTGGGAAAAAAGAGGGAACGGCAGCGCATAATAAAGGGATTACTTAAAACCGACATTGCTGGAAAAGAAACACACCTTAAAAATGAAGTATGAGGTTCCAACCACCTCTTCAGCGACCAACCTCTTGACTTCTGCACAAACAGCACTGCTTTGGCCGTACTTCTGCTACAGCTTTGAATATCTACCTGGCCATGCTGACTAAGCCACAACATTATTTATTGAATATAAGTAAGTTGCCCCTCACTCCTTTTTTGGTTCATTTTCTATATAGCAACAGTTCATTATTCGGAGTATTTTAATAAATGCACGAAACCAGACTTCCCTCTGACTCTGATCCACATTTTTTAAATGCAAGTTTTAGCCTAATGCCTTCATTCCGCAGCCCCTCAGAGTCCTGCCATTTTACCACAAAACAGTGGAACAAAATGGCTTACTCATACGGCTCTAAATGGCCTTCTCAAAATAATTGCAGATTGGTAGAGACTAATCAAACAGCTGATTTGACAGAGTCAGATAATTCCTATATACAAAGCAAATGACTTATAAATCAAGAAACTCCAGCTGGCAGCTCAGTCCCCAAATACTTCAAAATTTGATTAGCAGGACACAGCTACAAGATATACAAAATGCTCTTTGTGAACAAAGCTAGTATCTCTCATTTTTAATCTGCTGATTTAAATAGACACTGAACACATGATGGGTCTTGTCCTTTAGGAGGCAGTAACATTTCAGCAAGTTTAGACAAGCTCCAAGAATAATTTACCCAGATGCTCTGAACAAAGGTTTCTTCAACCACGTACAAGACTGAAGTTAAATATGACCTTTTACAGGACCACCAAACATCCTTTCCAGAGTTGCCACCTAATCTTTTACTGAAGATACACAATCCCAAAAGTGACAAGAAAAATAAAAATAATCCAGCTCCCATGGCATATTTAATAGGTAACACTTAACATCTGATACTTATAACCCAACAGCAAGCAGCTACCTCTGCTTACTTTACAAAATGCTCATTAAAAACTGATAGTGGCTTACTGCTAGTTTGTTTAACACTCAAACGTTACTTCATTCCTTGTCCATACCCGAACACACAAAGCAAGAGGTCAAGCAGAGAAGGTTACTCCCATTCGATCTTAACCACAGAACACCTTTATTACACTTTCCACTTCTGAGTTAGAGAAAACTATGCCAACTTGTGGAGACCAGAGACTGAAGGCTTCTCTGAACATCTGATTCCTGACCAACTTATCAGCTACACCAAGAGGTTCTTCAGGACTACCAGCACCCACTTGTGGTTTTTACACCTAATTTCATGGACCAATTCACAAAGCCAATTACACATTAAACTTGGTTCTTTGTCGTACACATGGAAGGAGGCGATATTCTTCTTCCTGACAGGTGAACCACCACCCTAAAGATCAATTTAGGGGCAAAAAAAATCAGGTTTAAAATGTTGTTTACATTTACAGCCTCATTTTACAGCTCAGTAATATGCAAATACAAGTAAAGATGAGGAAAAAAACTAGGACTCCCAGGCTTCAGTAGATGAATACATGCTATTCATTTCTCTTTGGTCTTTTACATACTTGGATGCAAACCAGAACTTCTTTCCATCAATAACATATAAATGAACTTGAATATGTAGCATCAAATTGTATGCTTATATTTTGACTTCAAAACTCAAGCAAAGCTAAACAGTATTTTTTGACAGTAGGAGATAATTATACTTTCTTCAGGTCAACTGAGGAGTAAAAAATCTTGTAGATGGGCACTCAAACATTACAGAAATAAATTCCATGTAAAATGGATAATCTAGTAATTTACCTTATGTCTCAAAATTTAACAATCCCTACATTTCCAGTTAGTTGTGCCTAAATCTCCACTGGGCCCCGTCTGTACCCAATTATCAGGCAAAAGCAAGATGCTGTCCAAAGCATGAGCCTAAACTTCCCTCCTTCCAAAGCCCACCATCTAGAGCAGATCATCACAGTAACAGGCCAGATTCACTCTTTTCCTTTCTAATATCTAAAGGCCTAATTTTTTTTGAGCATACCAGCAGTTCCTTACAAGGCAATACAGCAGAGAACAGTCAAGCAGCTCACATTATTCGTCTGTCAGACACACAGCCTTACCCATACCCTTCCAGGCACAAGTACAAACTAGGACAGGCGTGCGGCTCTGCAGGAAGGGCTCTGGGGGTGCTGCTCACAGCAGGCTCAGCATCAGTCAGCAGCATGCCCTGGCAGCAAAGAGGGCAAATCACATCGTGGGGTGCATCAAAAACAGCACAAACAGCCAGGCAAAACAGACGATTATCCTCCTGTATTCAGTGCTGATCCAGTCTCACCTCCAGTACTCTGTGCAGTTCTGGGCGCCACATTTAGGTGGGATACGAGGGTCCTTGAGTACATCCAGAGGAGGGCAACAAAGCTAGTGAAAGGGCTGGAAGGAATGTCTTGAGGAGCAGCTGAGGACTTTGGGCTTGTCTGGCTTGGAGAAAAGGAGGCTGAGGGGCGACCTCGCTGCTCTCTACAGCTTCCTGAGGAGGGGAAGTGGAGAGAGAGGTGCTGGTCTCTTCTCCCTGGTATCCAGTGACAGGATGTGCGGAAATGGTTCAAAGCTGCACCAGGGCAGTATCTGACTGGAGAGCAGGAAGCATTTCTTCACTGAGAGGGCGGACAAACACTGAAACAAATTTCCTAGAGGTGGTTGATGCCTAAAGCCTGCCAGCATTTAAGAGGAATATGGACAATGCTTTAACTTTTGGTCAGCACTGTATTGGTCGGGCAGTTGGATCAGATGATCACTGTAGGTCACTTCTAACTGAAATAATCTATTCTGATGGCCTGTGCTTTTCCAGTGCTCATTACTGAATACGACTTTCCCTCCTCTATCCTCTGTACCTTCATAAACAACTTTATAATTAATCACTATGTTGCAGGCTACCAGCAAACAAGACAATTTCTCCCAAATCTTCAAATCCAAGTGACAAACAAGACATCACACAGAGAACAGGCAAGAACAAGAAGCTGCCAGAAACAGGCTCACGTGCAAAGCAGCAGTGCAGATGGAAAGCACAACTTCTTTTTCATAGAATTCCGTGTTTATTTAATTTCTCCACAAGTGTGGCTACAAACAGAGGGGCAGTCTCATGCAAGAACATTAAAAGAAACAGAACCATATAAAGTTGCTAAGTACACAAGTTAGCTGACCAGGAACTGAAAAGCAGTCCCATAAATAGAGTTGTCCTTTCCTTTCTCAGTCTTGTAAGCACACAGAAGTCTCCAGCATGAGTAAACGGTCATCAGTCAGCGTAAATTAAAACTCAATTTATTGCCCAGGCAGGAATGTAGTTTCACTAACAGAGCATCTAAAATATTCCTTGGAGGGCAACCACTCCCTTAAGTGAATGTTAACTTTAGAGAAGGCAAACTAGTGCCTGAATGTTTACTTCAGGGATTCAGTATCATCAGAAATAAAGAAATAAAAACAAACCACCAAGTAAATAGATGGCTCAAGGCAAAAACTCATTGGCTTAAGGAAGGATAGTAATCAGGAAAGTCTTTAAAAAGCTAAGTAGTCTGAAGAAGTACAAACACCTATAATTAAATGCAAGACAAATACAGAAAAGCAGTTTACCGCAACCAGACTTT